CTGCACATATTATCTTCATAACGATCATCCGCCTAACAGGGTGAAGCCCGGGGTGTGAAGCAGATTTACCCTAGCTTGTGCCAGGCTCATATATAGAGACAAAACCCTGTTACCAGACGGTCTGAACCGAAGGAATGAATATTGAACTGTTACTATTTATATTTTTATTGTATAATCATTTACCTGTATATTATTCTATCTAGTGTTAATAATTGTAGACATATTTAATTCTGCAAGCAGAATACTGCAATGCTCTGAATGCTGATCGTACTACGTGAAAATTAACTCTGCAAGACATCAACACGACACCGAAAGAACTCAAAACAGAGTATACTTTTCATTTTTGCTGATCAGGTCTTTATAGATCCTACGTTCTTCGACATATTCGTTTGCCGTCCTTTGCAGTCCTTTATGGTTAATGTTTGTACTTTAATAATTGTAGTTAATAATTATCCACTAATGTGAATTTTAAATTCAAATTTTAGGAGCCGTTTAAAGATATTTTCTCTCGGTATGGCTCTGGCCCAGAGGAAGGTTAATTTTGGTAGCCGAAATATTGGCCTATAATAATTCCCATTTATTTTCTCCAAGATTGTAGTTTAGGCATTTTTTTGTAGTTGACGCTATTTTTGGTCTCTGCTTCTTCTTTTCTTCTTTGTCTTACTTGTAAACAATTTCTCCGAAACGTTTTTCAACTCTTTCATTTGCTCAAAGCAGAATAATGGCGAAAAATTTGGCAATTTTGAATGTCTAATTTACATTTATTATATAGACAAGAGTGTTTTACTGCAAAATATACCACTCGTAAAATTCATAAAAACAACATCCGGGACCCGAGTGGTTTAATTTCCATAATCTCACGCGTGAGTTTATCGATGACGTAATTTCGGTCATGAATTTCCCTCTATTATTTTATCAGCTTTTTGTCTATATAATAAAAAGAACATTACACGGCGGCTTGAAGATATGAATTTTATTTTCTCTTGGCAAAAACAATATTTTACTCACTCGCTGCGCTCGTTCGTAAAATATTGTTTGCCACTCGAAAATAAAATTCATATCTTCGCGCCAACGTGTAATATCCTATATATCATCATCATCTGTGACTTTTATTTTTTTTCTTGTGTTACGTTTGGATTTTGTTGTTACTTCTATAATGGTTAATTCTGAAGATGCATGTTGAAGCATACAAAACCCTGCCTTAAGGCTACTTCGGTAATAAGGTCACCTCGTTATTACGGCCACTTTTTTTGGCCGCCTTACAAAAACCTCCGTACATTTTCTTGTTAAAAAACCCTCGAAAATACGGTCACCCCGTTAATAGGGTCAAATTTTTTTGGCCCATTGGTGACCGTATTAACGGGGTTCCCCTGTAATTTAAATATTTACAATTCGATTTGAATATATATTTTTTTCGGGGTTATATACTTCTGATTTATTTGAATGTTTCTGTTTCATCAGTGCTTGATTTCAACCATATGTGCTTAAACCAAAGCATCGAAATTGAGGGATCCTCTCATATTATAACTTATGACTGAACTTGCGGTTCAAACAAGTTGAACTTGCGACAAAATTGAAAATGGAAACATGAAATTTAATTCTCGGTGACAAACTTCAGTATTCCCGCTAAAATTCACGCACTACCCAAATAAGAAGATTAAAAGTACAAAGGGACACTTTAATATGATTACAGTTACTGTACATTTTGGTTCAAGAGGATTTTTTAACCTTAAAAGGTTGATTTCCTACTCTGATTGGAATGTGTAGTAACTTTTCGGCCTTCGTTTTCTAAATACAGTCAACCCTCTCCAAGACAGACAACGGCACTATTATGTGTCCGCCTTAGAGAGATATCCATCTTATGGAGTCAAGTAAAAGTTGTAATGAAAGGTAGGGACCAGCTCTAGGTGTCCGTCTTATAGAGGTGTCCGTTAAGATCGGAGAGAGTTGACTGTACCAAGAGATCATATTATGATCTCTTGACTGTATCTATGAATTCATCCACTTACTGTAAATAAAACATTTACGTTAATTATTTTGTACTTTTATACCCAGTACCTTATTTATTTAACTTAATGAGTTTATTCTCCTTCCCTCTTCTATTCAATCCTAGCTATACAGTCCACTCTCTTTTAACGGACACCTTGGTAAAACAGACACCTAGAATTGGTCCTTACCTTTCTTTTCTCCCTTTATTTGACTCTCTATAAGACGGTGGACATCTCTGTAAGACGGACACTTATTAATTAATTAGTGCCGGTCCCAAAGAGGGAGTTGACTGTATTTACAGCTGTTTCAAGAAAGGTTGTAGGAAAAAACGTGCACCCGACAATCTCGAAAGGTAATTTAAGATATGATCAATACACTGTTCCTGACACTGTCTCAGTCGAACCTACTTTTGTTGCTTTCCTTTAGCACTCGCAAACGTATACATCCATGCAGGAGCCCATAACCCGAAGAGAGCCAATTCCATGCGCTCGTGTTACGGCGTTTTCACGGACCAGTTTATTTTTAGAACAGTTTTGGCGCCAATTCTGAATACCTTTTAAATTCCACAAAACAGTCAGCAAAACCTACAGACCTAACAATGATATTTTTTGCCTTTTAATAGCGTTTGGTTTTCCTTTTTTGATATCTTGTACTTCGAACGCGTTCACAGACATGGTGGAGAATCTATTTTCGCGGGAAAAAAAGCCCTAAAATGTATCTAAAAATAAACTGGTCAGTAAAAACACCGTGACATAGGCCTAGTATGGGAGTTGCTCGCTCCGGGCTCCTGATCTATGGCTTCTCGTGCCATTCTTTCAAATTTCTTTGAAAAACAGTGAACTCAAACCCACCCACAATACCTTTCGGGATTGTCGCGCGCACTTTTCAAGACAACCTTTCTCGAAATAGCTGTATTTTGTAACTTTTAATTTTAATTCCTTCTAACCTTGTTTTTTTTTCTTGACACTATGTTTTCCATAAAAAAAAACTGCAAGATTTCCACAGACCTCTACATAAAGCCAACTGACACCCATGAATACCTCCCGAGTTCATCTTGTCATCCATACTACACAAAAAGATCCTTCCCCTATAGCCTTGGACAGGTCAGTACGCCCTCATTGCATCTGCCTACGATACTACATTCAAAAAACGCTGTGTGAACTAAGCGAACAATTACAAAACTACAAGCAATCACAAGTACAACGCGAAATCACCAAAGCACAACGTGTTCCACACTTTCTCAGCTGACAAGACTAGGCCGCCCTTACAACCCAGCCGCTTACAACAAAAACGTAGCCATCGCATCCCATTCGTAGTAACCTACAATCCAGCTTCTCCATACCTTAACAGGTCTTAACATGACCATCACGAAACACCTGCCCATACATCAATCTTCTTTAACCATCACAGGAACACGAGTTAGCTTATATTCTCTATGTAATTTCAATAGCTTAATTCATACTATAATTCTTATTTTACGACAGCTGGTACTGTTTGTAAAATATTTCTTTTCTTCCTTTCCTTTCTTTAAATTTGTGTGTTTCTTCCCCCGCCTCGATTTAACCTGCAAACAAGCTCTCAATTTGGGGGATATCGTGAAAAGTAGACTCGCGAGAGGCACGCGAGAGGAGACACGAAAGCGGGTAGTGGGGGTGGAGAAAGGAGATTTCTCCTTTCCTCGGTCCCTCGCGCCTTCGCCGCTCGTTCGCGCGTTCTCTCGCGACTCGCTTCACTCGCCCAAATAGGAGAGCTTGCTCGCAGGCTAGCCTCGATTAGGCTCTTTTTTACGCGGGTGCAAGCTCTCGTGAAATTGTAAATGGTATGTGTGAATGAATGAATAAGTTGAAAATATGCTGCAAAGACTGAGCCTTTTCTGAACGTCCCTTTATCGCATACAGACGCCCACGAAACCAGCGTGACCTCCTTGTTAAGGCCAAACTGAAACAAACAAAAACACCAACTTCCAACCACACCTTTCATAAAGAAATGCAACTCCATCAGATGCAAAACCTGTCCCGTCATTTAAGAGTCATGTACATTGTTCAAAAACACTGACCAAACTCACTTCATCATTCATATGATACAACATCGCAAGTGTAAAAGCACCCTAAACACACCAGCGGAATACACCGGACAGCTGACTGAACGAGCCTTAGAGACAGATTTGGAGAACACCGCAGAGCGATAAAAAAAAACAAACTGTACCTCAGCATTTCAATCAAACGGACAACCTCGTTCCCAGGGTTCTCTCCTAGGAGAGAACCCTGGGAACGAGGTTGTCAAACGGACACAAACTTACAGACATCGAAGTTATCCCACTTGAACTTATCAACGCCATGCCACTGAAAAGAGAATCCATACGTAGAGTCGCGAACGTTTTTACATTGAAAAGACACAAACTATGCAGCCACAAGGAATAAACAGAGAGGACGACCCTGAAATCATTTATTTACTTATTGGTTTCATTATTATCATACAACTATTTTAATTTATTTATTATTGTTTTTTTTATAAATTATTATAAACAGGAGTGGGCTCCTGTTATTACTAATTTATTAATTTATTTTTATTTTTTACTTACTTTTTATTTTATTTTATTTTTTTGGGTTATCAATTTTTAATAATTATGATTATTATTAAATCGTCAGTCTGAAATATCTGGAAACCTCAAGTAGCTTTTATCTCTGCTGTTTTGTTATCAATGTTTATATTTTTGTCGTGGATAAAACAGCAGTTTGGTTGTCGTCATTTCAAATTCTTTTTGCCTGGAATGTAATGATTTGATGCTCCATACAAAATAGAGAAAATTACCCGAGGAAATGCTTTTGAACAGAAGAATATATATAAGGAACCCAGATTTGAACAGGGTTTTCGAACAACTGCCATTATGGCTCTTGTCCCAGTCTCCCAGAGCTCACACGGCACTCGATTTGAGGGAACCTGGGTAAGGGTTTGCGCGAGCATTGACTGATGAGAATTTCTTATTGCCGCGAGAGTGGAGGACTTGATCGTTGAATTTTAGCTAAGTTTGTCGTAATCAGCATGCTTCCAGAGAAGAAAAACATCAAGCAGTTCACTTGACCTGTATGGTAGGTTTCCTACCTTTTTGTATCTTTATGTGGACATTTTTATGGTCTCCTCTGCCTTGGAAGACGAAAATTTTAAAAGCTGATGGAAATAATATTATTGACAGCTGCTCGATCACAATCAAAATGAAAGATTTTTCTCATAGTAAGCGTTTGCATTGTACAATTCAGTCGGTTAAACCCAATTTATTTTATGGCTGCTGGTTCTGAGAATCAGTATGGGAAAAAACATACCTGGGGAGAAAAACGGCCAAAAAACATACTCTTTGCATTGGTTTTGTTGGCAGCACGTACCGATGTAGCTTATATCAAGGGTAGATCCCACAGAGGGCTTCCCTTGTTTCAAGCACAAACAGTGACTGCCCACAGGACGGAGAGGTACGGGACCATACACCGACTTGTATTTGCTATTCATATGGGATTGAAATTTCTAAGTCTTTTGAAATGTCTGCTCAACAAATGTTCATAAAAGTGTAAGTCTCTTCAATTTTTAAGGACAAAAAAATTCAGTGACAATTTTTAAGGAAAGATTTTTAAGTGGCAAGATTGATCAGAATTGAATACAGGCGTAGCATCGACAGTCTGCTACCTAAACCACTATACCACTGTGCATTGGCTACTGAGAAGTGCTTTGATTGAGTTAGGACACAGTGCGAGCCAGCGAGCCATGCGGGCCATGTGAAAGAAAAATAGAAAAAAATAGAAAAAGCAGTAATACGAAAAAAATAAAATAATAACCAAAAGCTACCTATTGTAAATGAGTGTTTAACGCCAAAAAGCGCTTACCCTAATACGTAAAAAAAGTTTTTAACCTTAAGCAATTATAGTCAGAATCTCACACTCCGTGAAATGCAAATACAAGTCGATGTATTGGTCCCGTACAATAGCCACTAGGATTCTGGGTCCCATACGAATAGCCACTGGACTCTTTCGTTACCCGTCCTACATCTGCTTTATTTCTGTTCAACACTTTCTTAAACACTTTGACCACTTTTGCATAAAAAAGAATACCTGTTCCCTTAACCTCCCACTCCCTTGAAATCCCAGCTGTGCTCGATACTTTCCTTATATATTTTTTACTTTAGAAACCCCCATCCCCTTGAAATTTACAATGACCCTGGGGGGACGGGGTGGGTATGCATCCTAAAGGGCACAACACCATTGGCCAATTTATGAACAGAAGGGAACGTCAGCATTCCTGAGTGGGACTTTACAGGCAAGAAAATTAAAATGCCTCTGCAAAAGAAGGCTATGACCCCTGCTTACACTTCGTGCTCCTGTTAACTGGTAACTAAGTTGCACTTCTTAAAGCCTGCAATCAAACGCACCATTAATTATTTTTGGAATCACAAGAGTAAAAAGTTATGCTCTCACAGTGAGCCACAGAAGATTAAGGTGGAGTATATAAGAGGGAGAGCTTGCCACAATCACTGAAAGAAATTTCCTTTCCCCTTCACCCAGTTAAATTTAAATACGATTTGCGGAGAAAATGAGAACCCTTTTTAAACGTGACTAGCTTGGGGTCTCACAGTCTGTTTGTGTTATGCAGGACTTATTGCTGAAGCCCACAAAGAGAAATGATATTTTTAGAACTTAGAAACTTCTTAAGCTTAAAATCTTTTCGTAAATTCATAAACTCAGGTTCTCATACACCGTAGACTGGAAGGTTTAAGATGACAACAGTATTTAAGCCAATCATTCGCTGGGCGCAAAATAAAGAGTGGCTTTTTTTAACCCTGGAGCTTACTGATGTGCAATACCCAGCCATTGAGTTAACAAGTACACGCCTAGTCTTTCAAGGGTTTGGTCATGGTGCCAGAGGAGAGCAACAATATCATGTAGACATAAATTTCTACAAGCCTGTGAATGTTTCAGCAAGTACCCACAAAGTGTTGGACCGCCATGTGAAGTTTTCCATTGCTAAGGTATCTGGCGAGCAGGAATTTTGGCCTCGCCTTTTGGGTGATGAACAGAAGCCTGCATGGTTAAAGATTGATTTTGATAGATGGCAAAGTGAGGATGCATCCGATACTGACCATGAGGAACTACAAAATCAAGCTGAAGTGGAGAGATTTATGGAGGCAAGTGATGCAAGGGAATTGGAGCTAGAAGATGCAATAGATGAAACCAAAGAAGAAGTCTTAAGATTTGTTCGAGTATTTTATTTGATTATATACAATCTCATGCAAGCTGGTTTATTTCTGTACATTGTCTTGGTTCTTTTGTCAAGATTATTTTTTCATGGAACTGATGCTTTTACTGATGCTTATGATGCAGTGAGTGATGTTCTAGCCTCCTGTCAATTGGCAGCCATCTTGGAAGTTGTTAATCCTATGTTGGGCATTGTAAAAACTGGCGTAGTGGCTCCTTTTATGCAAGTCTTTGGTAGAAACATGGTTCTTTTCCTTGTAGTGGTTGCACACAAAGAGCTTCATCAACAAGCTGTTGTTTACGGTCTCTTCCTGGTCTGGTCTCTTATTGAAGTTGTCAGGTACCCATTTTATGCTTCCCAGGTCATCAACAAGAGAATTGAACCTCTGATTTGGCTGAGATACACCATGTGGATTCCTCTTTACCCTCTGGGTATCTTCTTTGAAGGTAATGATATTAAGGAATACAGTCAAATCTCTTGTAAGTTGAATCAGAAAAAGTGTCAGTGTTAGAGAGGTGTTTCTTTAAGGAAGGCTAGTATATCAGAGTTTGCATGCTGCTGTGATCATGACTACGTGTTTGCTCATGTAGTTTTGTGTTAGGATGTCAGGGTCAGCACAGGTTTTGGGGAATACTGTATACCAGTTTACACTGTAGGGTTTCCTTAAATTCATAGTTGGGTATATGGGATCTTTCACCTAAAAACAAAATCATTGTTGTTATCTTACTTTTTTTTAGGTTTGGACAATGTCCAGTTAATTCTTTCAAGCGGGGGCTCATGTAGACCATCTGAGGGGTTACCAAGACCACATGCTAATTTTTTTCATTATATTTAACTTAATACTTATATGTCATCTGTGGGGTCAGGAAACCTCTTTTGTCAGGTCATTGACCCAAGACCTGTCTCTTATCTGTAACACTGTTTGGACACATTGAGAAAAATCAGGGTAAATTTTGAGTATATTGTTTAGATTATTTTAGTAACTAAAACCCTGGCTTACCATTAGAGGTTTGACTGTAACTTGAATACCATAGGGGTAAGGGGTTCTTGGCTATTATTTTTAAATATTATTATTGAAATAAAATTGTGATGGGAACTTCAGAGATAAAGCACTAAGATTATCCAAGTTACGGTCAATCATTCAGCTCACTCAAAAAACGTTATCAAAATAATAATTGTCTTACATTGAAGTACAATAATATTTTAATGGTCATTTTTAACCTAGTGCAAAAGATTGCTGGTTTTTATTTTGACTGACTTTCAGTGCAAGTCTTAAAGGGAACACAATACACTTCTAGGTTATGTAATAATAAAGGAATCCATTGCTATAATTTTAAGTTAACACAGACTGTAAAGTCAGTATAATTTACATTTTTAGACATATTTACTTAAACAATACAACCCCAATTTCTTGGACTTTTGGCTTTCCAAAATTCCAGGATAACATGAACCAAACTTAACTTCCATTAGCAGTTAGATACGTACAGTGATTTTATCCCTTCATTTTTCAAACCTCCCAATAACTCGAACCAATCTTTTTTAACCAAGGTGGTTCAAAAAAATCAGGATTCCAAGTTTGTGGGTATTCTTTCCCTGCTTGATTCTTTTCCATTTGAAATTTTTAACAGGTACACTGGTTTGGAGAGCTATTCCTTTGCTGGAAAAATCAGAAAGATTTTCTATCAGGCTGCCAAATGCATTTAACTTCAGCTTCAGTTTTGCATGGTTCCTCAGAGTTTACCTTGTACTCCTCATTGCTGGAGGATGGTACATGATGAAACACATGTATATTTTGCGGTGGCGAAGATACGGCAGAAGAAAAAGAAAGATAANTTATCCAAGTTAAGGTCAATCATTCAGCTCACTCAAAAAACGTTATCAAAATAATAATTGTCTTACATTGAAGTACAATAATATTTTAATGGTCATTTTTAACCTAGTGCAAAAGATTGCTGGTTTTTATTTTGACTGACTTTCAGTGCAAGTCTTAAAGGGAACACAATACACTTCTAGGTTATGTAATAATAAAGGAATCCATTGCTATAATTTTAAGTTAACACAGACTGTAAAGTCAGTATAATTTACATTTTTAGACATATTTACTTAAACAATACAACCCCAATTTCTTGGACTTTTGGCTTTCCAAAATTCCAGGATAACATGAACCAAACTTAACTTCCATTAGCAGTTAGATACGTACAGTGATTTTATCCCTTCATTTTTCAAACCTCCCAATAACTCGAACCAATCTTTTTTTACCAAGGTGGTTCAAAAAAATCAGGATTCCAAGTTTGTGGGTATTCTTTCCCTGCTTGATTCTTTTCCATTTGAAATTTTTAACAGGTACACTGGTTTGGAGAGCTATTCCTTTGCTGGAAAAATCAGAAAGATTTTCTATCAGGCTGCCAAATGCATTTAACTTCAGCTTCAGTTTTGCATGGTTCCTCAGAGTTTACCTTGTACTCCTCATTGCTGGAGGATGGTACATGATGAAACACATGTATATTTTGCGGTGGCGAAGATACGGCAGAAGAAAAAGAAAGATAAAATAAACAAAGGACACTGTTTCCGTTGATAATACCAGAGGAATGTAGGATTCATGGACCTAATTTGCTTCACTTTTTGTTGTCCTTTTGGAGTCAGGATTTTGTCAAAATATTTGACCCTTTGTTTTGCATCAGTTTGTCTGTCCATGAAAAAGAACACTTGTATTTTCAAATGATCACATCAAAAAAGGAAAGCAAGTTAGGTCTATTTTGTACCTTGGTCGGAACAGTCACTTGAACTGTAGTAGTACTACAGCTGTAGTTATGGGTTTCAAGTTTCTTTTTGCCAATGAGATTCAATGGAAGAAAATAATTTAGTAATAAATAATGTGTAGATGAAAAATATGTGCTTTAAAGTATTAATTTATTGTGTTTTATTTATTGTAATACAATGGTGAATTTTGAATGAGAGTACATCATTGTGTCTGTTTGTCTTTACTTGATTCATCTAATGCAGAATTTTCCAATTAAGAAGATGGGCCTGAGTTATTTTTGTACTGAACAGCAGTAAATAAATAAAGCATTCTTTTGAATGAAGGTTGCTGTTGATAATATTATTGCTTGGGGGTTGGGCTTACATTTTATACCATAAACTGCTGCTTAAATGCCTCCCGGCCTTCCCAGTTAATAACCCCCACCTGGATATAAGACCCCCTCTAGCTTGTCTTGTGAAATGATTTGGATTCATAATGATATTTGGAATCCTAAATTTAAAACCAGTAAAGTGTAAAATGTACTTTGATCAGCACTGTTATAGCTTGTTTCGAAATAGTTTTTCTCTTCCAGCCCCCTTGGGTATTAGACCCTCTGTGTATAAGCCCTCTTAAAACCCCTTACAAAGATGTAGAGTCGACTCCTGGTAACTCGAACCTTCAAGGGAAATCGAAAAAAGGTTCAAGTTAACGGGAGTTCGAGTTATCGGGAGTTTGAAGAAAATAGCCGAGAGTAAGATAAAAAACAGTTTTTACTGCACAGTGAACATTTTAATCACATTTAATTGTAGAAATGTCAAGTGAAAATTAAAAGATGGTTTAAGATTATAAATCAGAACGTAACGTAACAAAACATAGCCTAAATAGAGCATGCGTTTTACTGTTTTGAGAAGAAAAGCTGCTTCACCTTAGCCTGTGACAATCAACATCAGCCTCCACTAGTAAACTATACTCCTACAACATGTCAATAGGAAATTCAAAATTCAATGTTTCGGACGCCTGTATACGGCTTTTTTCCAGAGTTTTTAAGGGCGCAAAACATGGTTCGAGTTATAGAGGGTAAAATTATATAGAAAATGACCCGAGGGGAAACGAAAATTGGTACGAGTTAGCGGGAGTTCAAGTTATCGAGGGTTTCGAGTTACTGAGGGTAAAATTACAGTGAATGTATGACGGAAATCGAGGGGAAATCGATTTTGGTTCGAGTTAGCAAGGGTTCGAGTTATCAGGAGTCGACTGCATAAGCTAAGGAAATATGAGTGGCTCTTTGGTTCTCTTTTTAGGTTCTAGTCCTTTGTTTCCACAGTAAAGGTAACATCATCAAGTGTAGTTTTCCTGTAGTTAAGACATGCTTGTGCTCACTTTTTTTCTAGAGTTTCAAATGTATGACTTTGAACTTCCTGATCCTGACAATAAGGCTGTTAAAGGAGCTGAAGGTAATACCATGATTCAAGACTGACATTTAATTTGAAGACAATGCTTCTTTTAAGGAAAAGCACATTATATATATATACACTTCCCTTCTAAGAGTGGTCAAATTAAATCAGGATATGTCATGTTTCAGTAATAATATTATACTCCTAGTAAATATTTGTGCCATTAAAGATGTTCAGATATGTGCATAACCAGACCCTGTGGCTGATGAAATGTGACCTGACCTTGCTTATATGTTCTATCACTGATATTGTTTGAGATTTTATTCCTAAAAAGTTTTTGTTTTGGTCAAATCTCAGAGTTCACTTGGCACGCACTGGCTCGCATATGAGGGAAAGTCGGTCGATGCAGTCGACATACAAATTCTTAGCCATCTATAATCTATATACTAGGTCTATCTATATATGTTCCAGGAGGTCTTCACTTTCTAGGTCTTTGTTTTCTAGACACCCTAGTCCCTGTACGGCATTTTCCCAGTCCCTGTTGGTCAATTCACTTTGGTGACGTATCCAAGGTGAACGGGCAGTAAAGGCTCACATCTTCACTTGCACCACGTGACCCGAAACGCTTTGGTCACGTGGAATAATGAGGCCTAGGGACTAGGCAAGCAGTACCCCCTTCCCTGGGGCTTGCATTGCATTCAAATGATTTTCATGCCAAAAAGGACTAGGGCCTGATTGGAAGTTACTTGGGGAGAACTTGGACTCGTTTAGAACAAAATGTCTTAATGTCCAAGGGAAAAACACAGTGATAAGTTTATGGTTTAAAACCGGGATTGAAGTCCACCATGCTAACCACTAGATCTGATTGTATCTTTAAATATTAACATTGTTCTTCTCTAAGTTTTTGTGTCTATGTATTTTTATAATTGACAGTCAGTTCATAAGGAAATGAAAGTGCCGTTATTTCAAATTATCACGTTCGCATAGTCTGGTGGATTTTACCTGGTACGTGCATGTTGTTTTATGTGTACATAAGCCCGTAAGTTACCATTGTAGCAACTAGGTTCAATATTAAAACACTGCTTTATAGATGCTGCCACTAATATATTATAATGACATTAAAAATTTTAAAAAGATTGATTAAATAAAAACTAATTAATTTACCGTTTGTAAATTGTACACAATCCTACCTTAGCTTTTTGCTTTGTTAGTAATTCTCCATTAATCTAATAATTAACAATTTTTTAGCAACTACTATAATTTGCAGTCTCTTCACTTTGAATTAATCCTTTGCAAAGGTATAAACAGTGAAATATTAAGCAAGTGAGTAGTACAAAATATTGTATGGTATGATCTACAAGCATGCAGCCAGACTTTTTGCATAGACAAGGCCTGATCTGCAATCACTGACTTCAAACTGACACCCCTTTTGTTTTCTTCTGATCACTTTTTTTTACTCAAATTGCAGGCATTTTAATAAATACAGTAAAAACCTGCACATAACCTCTGATTTTTTAAAATGGCTCTTCTAATTTAGAAGAGTTGAGTCCCTCCTAGGGTTGGGTGGGGTGGGGGACGTACACCCCTAGGGTGAATTTCAAATTCCTTTGTTTCATGTTTTGAGGAGTAGGCCATGTCCCTGTTGGTAGATAACCCATCTTTATGTCGTTTGTCGCCATTTCACCTGGTCTTATGTCACTGTTTCAAAGCCATGTCGCCTGTTGCAATTTTCCCCTAGCAGCTGGGCCTCAGAGTTGGGAACAGAGACCTTTAGATACGAGGATGAGAATGACTATGAGTGCAAGACTTGATTTACAGTTTTTTGGTGTATTGTCAATAAATAGACACCCTGGAATTCTTCATTGTACTTTTTTTCACCAGAAAAGTTAGCACTGTTATTGTTATTGAAGGAGCTTAAGACCTCTCCCGATTGTAAAATGCTAAAAATTCTAATATTTGATGACTAGTCCCAGCCACTTCGACACTCTCGCTAAAACTCGTAGTAGAATGATGACGGCTACTAATTTTTTCTGTCAAAATGACACTGCCTCACGTGCAAGCACTACTTACTATTGAGAATATCTCACCCTCGTAGTCGTTCTTGTCTTAGAATTTTAAGGTCTCTAACAGCTCACATTACACTGCTAATTTGACCAAATTCAGCCTGGAAATATAAAATCTACAGGTTTTTCTCTGTAGGTTTTTCCCGTACTGGTATTATAAGAGTATAGTTTACTTGTAATACTAAGTTGTACTTCCTTTTATTTAACAGTGCATCCGAGTAATTGACTGTTAATGACAGGATCAGCAGAAAAGCAAAGCTGTTTGGTTGATTCCTTGAAGACAGCAGCAGTTAAAAACATTGCATATAATAATACAAGTTGGTGTTAATTTTGAGTTACATCCTAACTTGGAAATAATTATTAGTTTAATAAAAAAATTGAAACATTTTGTACTCAAGTCTTAAGACAGTGATGCATCTATTTCCTGAGATGAGGAGCTACAAGCTCCAAAATGAACAGTGCAGTGGACAACAACAATGACATGTAAATTGATTGGATGCTGAATGTTGAAAGAGGGATTTATTTGAAGATACGAGAAAAAATAATGAATAATGGAAGTATTTGGAAAAAAATATTTAATGTACAAGAAGAGCATTATTTTACCAATAAAAATACAGCAAGGTAAATTTGTTTTTGGTAAAATCATTTTAATCATCTAGTAATGGAGATTACCTTTACCAGGAAGTCAAACCAACTAGACATAGGCTTCTTCTTCTAAAGAGTGCTAGTTTTCTTTTAAGCTGACATCTTATGTTATTTCTGGTACAGAATTGATCCATATTTTGGTGATGAAAGGTCTACTGCATTATTAACACTTTTATCAGCCCCGTAACAATTCACAAGCCTTTTCCACAATGTCTATAGCCTTAACACTCGTGCATGGGAATGAGTAAGTTGCAACCAGTATACCATAAGGTAGATCACACACAATGATCCCACCTCTATTTTTGTGAGTCACTGCATAAACACTGCGGAGAAAAATACCCAAGTTAGTACCACTGGCAAAAAAAATTGCAACCACAATGGCAAGAACTGGACAGCAAGCCAAGAGCATCAGCAATAAATAAAATCAATGGCATTGATAAGCAGAACAATTAAGTTATCACCTTTAACTTGAGTGTTTTACATAATTTCCAGTTATTCGCTTGATGTTATAATATGTGCAAGAAGAATAAGTGGTCACTTTAACTTAAGTTGGTTAACTTTCCTATTCTCAAGTTGGAAAGCATGTTCTCATTATTTTGGTAACTTTTAAAAAAGATATTAGGACCTTTCCTCACTATAAACAAGACTGGTCATAAATTTTCAATTGGCAAGTTTGTAGTCATGCTCTAGCTGCTGGTTTATAAAAATAATTTTGATGATTTCTCCCAACTAGGAACTGTTTTGGTTGATTAAGCAAAATTTCAAATGGTGATTCAGCCTTTCTTGGAGAACATTATTTAATGACAGAGATTTACCTACCTGCAAAAGCTTTTGCTGTAGATTATGTACTTGTTCTCAGAGGCATCTTTCCCAGTTTGAAGAACAAATCCTCTTTGGCAAAGATTAGATTCTGTGGGGTAAATTTTAAAATATCATAGCACAGATATTTAAGATAAATTTGATTTAACAATTAAGGCAGAGAGATGGAAACACTAAATTATGGGTGTTGGAATATGGAGAAGTAATTTTGCATCGAGTCAATAAGTCTTGCAGTTTTTGTGTTTTCTTTCCATCTTGGACTTTTTTCTATCACATATCAGTACTTTAAACCAGAGTTTTTGCAAAGTCTCAGTTTTAAAAATTGACACCCCTAATATGCAATGGGCCAATGCTAGTCAGTCTTTAAACCTGGGATCAGGCTCTATTTTCATTTCAGTTTATAAATGAAATTCTGGTTTGAGAGGAGTAACAATTTAGTGCGACCAAGTAAGAGAGACTGTATGGTAGCTGCTAAAATTGGCCCAGATCTCAGGTTAGTCAGTCTTAATTGGTGGGAACTGGTGACGTTATCCCAGTAGAAAACCTGGAGTAGAATGGCATCCCTGCAAAAATTCTAGCTGAAACTACAGTATGTTCCCAGTGGATAGCAATCCTAGTTGATCCTGATGACCATCTCATGTGGCTCAAAGTTTGACTATTAATAATTATTTGATCCTGTAGCAGTCCATATAGGCAGCTTTCACAAAATTTGAAAAGTAAGCTTTTGCAGTTAGTAAACACTGTTAAATAAATTTCTGAGAAGTATCATAATGTACCTTCGTCCTCAGATGTTATGTTGAATACTACTAAAAACTGTGAGAAGTATTTCTGCAAAATGTAAAACATGGGGTGAAACATTTAGCTAACAGTTTTTCTTGGGGGAGCTAAAACACCACTCATAAGTAACATGGGATATGTACGTTTATCTTATGAAATATAGACCTATTATTATAATTGTTATTAATTATCAGCTGACATGAAGCTCTAATCACTTTTCCTGTACCGTACTTACAGCAAGGAGCATAAAAGCATGACCACCTGTAATGAATTCACATTCTTTCCTGCCGAAATTAAACAATCAGAAGTTGAGAACAGTTTCCAGCTGGCTTCTGATTGGATTAAATCTGCACAAAAGAATGTGAATAAATCAAAAGCTGTCACACTTTTGCGCTCCCTGCTGTAACGTGTGCATAGACAAAAGGACTAATGATTTTAGCATAATTTTGTGCCCCTAAGAGACTGCATGCAGGCCTGGCATGCAGGGAAATTAGCATGAAAACTCCTCTTAAATTTATAGTTTGTGTCAGATCATAATGTAGTTGTTGTTGCAGAGCATAACAACGTGGTGTAAGGGTAGGAGAAGGACAGATTCTCATTAAATTTGCATAGAACTAGTTTTTGGACTTGTTATTCAATTCAGTGTTTAGTTTTATTTTTTTGGATAAAAACTAGTTCTTCTTGGGAACAATATGATTTTTTTCACTTGGCTGTGAGTGAAATCAGTTATTAATCTGTCACTAGAATAGAAGGCCGCTCTGTTGAAAGATCTAGTATTTCAGTCTCAAATCTGAAGAGCCTCCATCTTGCATTATTGTATCCTTTCTTCACATAATTGGCCAAGCTTCTCTGATAAGACATCATGATATGCTAAGACGAAAATTGACCCTGATCAATACAACTTTTAAAAAATGAAATAAAATAAATGGATAAAAGTGTAAGGTGCATGACTATCCATTACCTCCTCAAGGTCTTTCAGTTTGCCACATGAGTAAATGGAGTCACCACGTTTTGTCAGAAGAATTAGACCATCAAGAATTTCTCCCACAAACAAGTGAGCTAAACATCAATTGAAACAATACAGATGAATAAAAATTATTCCAAACAACAGCAAAGTTATCTTCAAAGACCCAGGGCCACTGAAAAGTAAAAAGGGCTTATTGTGTCAATAACCAAATGCTTGAATCTGATAAGTTCTCTACAGCCCTTTTAGTCGTTGCTTAGTTGTTCCTTTCACTGCCAAAAGTTGCAAGTCAACAGTTGCAAATTTCCAAATTTTATTTCATAAAAATTTTGCAGAAAAACAAATAGCACCATGCTAAAGTACTTCCAAAGATGTTTCAATTGAACGGTCAGACCACAGGATTTCATCCATAGACTCAAAAGTTAGAACCACCTTGTACAGCATAATAAACAGTACCACAGGAAAGTACTGCTCAGTAGCTTTCATTTGAATGGTCATACCATAGGATTTCATCCACAAACTCAAAAGTTAGAACCACCTTGTACAGCATAATAAACAGTACCACAGGAAAGTACTGCTCAGTAGCTTTCATTTGAATGGTCATACCATAGGATTTCATCCACAAACTCAAAAGTTAGAACCACCTTGTACAGCATAATAAACAGTACCACAGGAAAGTACAGATTACATGGTCACACCACAGGATTTTGTTTGAACCACCTTCCCAGACAGCATCAATAATACCCTGGCAGGGAAAGGTTTATAGTTTGCAGCACCAAAACTATTCGAAGACTTGTTATTGCAGCTCTTATCATGCAGACAGGTAAAATCAGACAATTTAATAGCCTGCAGCAAATGTTATTAGCCAATCTAACTAATCACAATCAAAAAAAAGAAAGAACTATTGTAATGAGCAGGGCTCAGCTTCAGCTGAAAAATAAAAGCAAAAATGACTAGCCTTATTCTGTTCAGGCTCGAAAACAACTTATTTTTTTGACAGCTGCAGTAACAATAACTTTAATGCTCCAAAGTGAACAAGTCTTACAGACTTCTGACCACTATTTTGTTTGAGAGTACCCAGTCCCAGGGTAACATTGTATACCTGCCAACTTTTTCCGAGTCAAATGCATGAGATTTTCACCTTTTCATGACCGAGATTTCTGGAAATGTCCCAGTGACTTCCGAGGATTTCCAACGAATTTCCGAAGACTTTCGAACATTGCCGAAAATTAAATGTCCGCAGATGTTCGGAAGACGTTTGAGCACTTCCAAAGCTACTTAGAAGACGACACTGATTTTAGCGTGCTTTGATTTCTTTAGAACACAAAAAAGGACACAAAGTCATCATGTGTTAAAGAACAATTTGTCCGGATTTGTGATAATCTCGTACCCAGATCTCCCAGGGCAAGTGTAAAACTGAGTGAGCATAGTGAGATCTGGGTACGAGATTAGATTTGTGAGTCAGGCATGAGAAATAGACCTTGTCACGGTTTTCGGTGCCACCTTGACGAGTAGGCAAATGCGTGAGAAATTACAGTGTTTGTATGAGAATCTAATATCAAATAATTTCCGTAGAACGGCTGTTCTGAAAAAAATATCAATTGTAAACTAAAGCTTCACTCCTAAGGTTTCTACTGAAAAAAAATTGAGGGCGTTACATGGGCTAGAAGACCTACAACCAGTTTTTTAAATTTTCTATACATTTGTCTGTATGAAAATCCCAGGAAAAATTACAGACAATTATATGGAAAATCTGAGGCAAGCCTCTTGAGAAATTTAAGCACAGATACGCCCTCCAAATTTTTTAGTGCAATCCTTTGCTTAGTAGCTTAGTAGCCCATGGAGGTAGAACGAGAAATCCGCGTAAACTGTAATTAATAAAAGTAGCTAAATTATACTAAATACCTTGCGCAAACTGACTCCAATTTTCGCTTTCCTGCATTTGTCTACTTCTAATACCAGTTCCTCATAATTTCATTACTTCTTGTGAGACCCGTGGGACATAGAAGTTTATGTCAATCCTCGAATCTTGAAGATGCCTTTCCATCAACTTACAATCACTCGACTGAAAAGTGATAAAGAGCAAGGCGTTGCATGTTTGGTACCAGTCTCCCTCTCGTTTTTCTGTTCACACTTGATCGATCGCAGCGAGGAGGCGAGGATGTATATGTTACTTTTGAGTTAGTTTGAGTTATAAAACGGTCAATATTATCGTTTCCAGTTTATACTAGTAATAGTTGACACTACAGCTGCCCCCACTCTGTATATAGTATATAGTATTCTTGCTCTCTCGCGCTGTAGGGCGGGTAGGAGAGAACCCTGGGAACGAGGTTGGTTCCCACATACCGTATTTATTCGAATAAGCGCCCAACCTCGAATTAGCGCCCACCTCGAATAAGCGCCCTCCCCACCTCCCTCCCACTCCCATTCAAACTCAAATAAGCGACCAGCCCCACCCCACCCCCCCAAAATTGAATAAGCACTAATAAGAGATTTCTCCGAAGACGGAGTTTTCTTAAAAGTATTAAAGTATTTCACAGGAACCTTACCTTGTTATATCTTCGAGTTTTGTTATTACTATTTATTGTTTTGTTGCAAAATAAACATACTACACTTGTTGAAAATGCTGAAAATTTAATAAGCGCCCAGCCTCGAATAAGCGCCCACTCTCAAGGTCCAAAAATTTAAGGGTCATCAGATGTTTGCAAAGTATTTAAAAAACTTTACTAGTACTAGTAAAAATATTTTTAGCAAAAAACTTTAACAGTGAAAGTTAAAGAAACAAATTTATTAAATTACATAATGTATACTAATAAATGGAAAAACGGGCAAAAAAGAAATGACTTTTTAGCGAGAAAATGCATTTATTAGTATTAAACAAAATATACTAATAAATGGAAAAACGGGCAAAAAACAAATGACTTTTTAGCGAGAAAATGCATTTATTAGTATTAAACAATATTAAGAAAATTAATGAAAAATATTTTTCACTGTTAAAGAATTTTGAAAAAATTTTTTTTACTAGTACTAGTAAAGTTTTTTAAAAACTTTGTAAAAATATGAATTCCCCATTTTATTTGCCGGAAAGGACGTTTGATCAATTCACGCTCGCGCATTCTAGTCTTATTTTAAACACTATAGCGGAAGGACATCTGTGAGCAGGGAATAAGTCAGCACAGAAATTAATGGTCGGCGAATTTCTGTAATCGTCCATCGTTCTGCTAGTGATGAGCTAGCCGTTGAATCATTCGCTCGTCTTGCTTGTTTTGGGCCGAGTCTTATTCCGGTCATAGAGAGAGAAAGAGTGTCTGGCAAGGTTCATCTGAAGGTTTCCAATCAAAGATTTGTGAACTCGTGTCTGGCAAACTCACTTAGGGTTAAAATACACACTGTTCTACGCACCTTATAACTTCATCTGCGCTTAACGAGTGTCCATAACAACCGCTCCACAGAATGTCACCGATAACACGTAACGCAAAAGAGTATCGAAGTGTGACTGCAAAATTAATGTCACAAAATCTACCCATTGTAAGCTGTTCCTTCGGGATTTTTTGTGTTTTACGTCATCCTAACCATTTCGTACTTGCGGGCGCAAGCAATGGAAACGTCATCATTACCTACCGATTCCTTGTGGCCCTCAAGCAAATCGAGATTTTTTCTATATTGACTGTATGACTGTATATTTCAACCGTAAGTACTTTCCTTAATATACGCGCGAGTAACTAGAGTGCCTCCTCGGGATTTCGCCTTCTGGGCGAAATCCCTGTGGGGGGAATCACTTAAATCTGTAAGAGACTCAGCTCAGCTGTCAGTTGTATTACATTGAACGACGCGGCTTATGGCATGTTATGGTCTTCCCAAGGAAGGCTGGTTTCGGTCGACGTTATTTAGGTGTCAACACGTCGCAAAATCTATATGAACATCGACCGAAACCTAAACGGAACTCGGCTGCTAAAATAAATCCCGCGAGCCTGTGCGAATCCCATCCCAGTTTTATTGCTGTCATTTGAGTCTCAAACAATAGTTTTCTCGCTCTCGCTCTCGTCCCCTCCCCCCCCCCCCCCTTTTCCCCCACCCCCCCCCTTTCTCCGTCCCCCCCCCCCCTCCCTCCCCGCCCCCCCCCCCCCCCCCCCCCCCCTACCCCCCGCCCTACCCCACCCCCACCCCCCCCCCCCCCCCGCCCCCAACCCCCTTTTTTTAAAACTTCTCCTGGCTCCCTCGCACGCGAATAAAATCTCGCCCCACCTCT